TTACAACGTATTCAGCAGTTACTACAAGCAGGAGTTACGTCTACAGATAAAAGAGGAAAACAAGTCAGTGCTAATGTTATCCCCGCCGAAGAGAAGATTCGTATTCATGAGCACATAAATTCGTTTTCTGTAAAAACGTCCCATTATTCTTCAAGAGAATATCATTATCTTAGCTCAGAATTGACAGTAAGGACCATGTATTCGATGTTCAAAGAAAAATATTCAGACTCAAAGATTAAGTACGAATACTACAATAGAATTTTTAAGGACGATTTTGATCTGAAGTTTGGTAAGCAGCAGGTCGACACATGCTGCACTTGTAAGAATCTTTTAATCAAAATTAAGAGAAAGAATCTAAATGAGAATGCTAAAAGAGTTGCTATTGCTGAAATGCTCGTGCATAAAAGACGAAGTAAAAAGTTTTACACGGCACTGCAGGAGTCAACAAAGAAGAGCAAAGAGTCTAATAATGTAGTTGCCCTTACGTTTGACTATATGCAAAATTTACAGCTTCCAAAAATACCAGTACAGGATTTATTCTATTTAAGACAATTAACAGTAAGCGTTTTTTGCATCCACAACATGAAGACTGACCAAGTTGTTTACTTCATTTATCATGAAGGTTGTGCCAAGAAAAACCCTAATGAAGTATGTTCCTTTCTTTACCAGTATATAAAGGAATATAAACCTGATAGTGTGAGGGAACTGCATCTTTTTAGCGACAATTGTCCTGGTCAAAACAAAAATAACACCTTGATTCGAATGTGCCTGTTCCTGAAAGATTCTGGCAGATTTGATGATATACAGCAATACAATATAGTGAATTTTAAAGACTGGTGGCCTGGACTTTATAAAAAAACAGCTATTTCTATTGAAAAAGAGGTACGCCAAGAGAGAAAAAATGCGTTTAACATCAGCAACTTTCATAATTTTTCCTTCTGCAAGAATGATGGGAAAGGTGTAGTACTTGCCAAAGACTACATTAATGGATTCGAGAAACATACATTTTGTCTAGGACTTTCCAATATTGTAGCTGAACCTAAAGTATTTTGTTACCTAACAGGAAAACTTCCCATAAAATCAGATAAATTGGATCACATAAAGAAATCGGGTAAATATGTGAACGACGTTGAAGGATCAAAAGAATTTTGGGATAATATTTTTAGTTGGCCTATTATAAATTAAAAATCTGTGTTTTGTTAATCCAATTTTTTCTTACAGTCTGTCTTAATAAAGTGTTTTGCGTCAATTACTCCCTCTTTCTTTTTGATTCTTCCAATTGATAACAGAAAGGGTATATGTTAGTCAATTTAAAAGGTCTATAACTTTTTACTGTTTAAAGCAAATATTTTCAATTACCCCTAAAAGGGATAGTGTTTTGATATAGTTTTTACATGCACATTTAGTTTTTTTATAAATTATGCTCCAGTTCGAAAAACAGTTATTTGCATTTATCTCAGAAGTTAAGTTCAGTGACATATATTCCTTTCTGCAATCAGCGATTCATTTGCAGATGATACTGCCATCCTAGCGATAGGTAAAGAACACGAAGAAGCTGCAAATAAAATCCAAACATCAGTTAATCAAATAAATAATTGGATCAAAAGATGGCATATTAAATTAAACGAAACCTAATATGGTAATATTAATTTTACTAACAAAAATGGTCAAAGAATACCAATTAACATAAATAATGCCCAGGTCCCTTATGCTAACTCGGCAAAATATCTAGATATTACATTAGATGCAAGACTTCGCTGAAAAGTCCATGTTAAAAAGAAAAGACAAGAGTTAGATATAAAATTCAAGAAAATGTACTGGTTACTTGTTAGGTATTCCACCATATCTACATATAACAAAATTCTATTATATAAACAAGTTCTCAAAAAAATTTGGACCTATGGCATTCAGCTCTGGGGTTGTCCCAGCTACAGTAATACTCTAATAATTCAGAGATTCCAGAACAAAATATTGAGGAACATTGTCGATACTTCTTGGTACATTAGAAACAGCGACCTTCATCGAGACCTTCAGATGGACAATGTTGTCCAGACTATCACCAGATTCGCCAGGAGTCACGAACAACGGCTCCACCAACATGCGACCGTTGAGGCGATCCAGCATCTTGACAACACGAACCTGACAAGAAGACTCAAGAGAGTGATACCTTTTGAGTTAGCCAAGTTAGTTTAGTGTAATTAAGTTATCAGACCCTAAGGTGTAGTAGCAAATAGAACTTTAGTTTTTAAGATTGCAACCCTAGTTAAATTAAATTAATAACTTCAGTAGTAAACCTTAAAATAATGTTGATAGAACTGATACTTAAGTTGTCATAAAAGTGTCTGAAAACGGTTATTTTCATTAAATTTGTTGTTTTACCAGATTACATGGAATTCGGGTACTGTTAAAAAAACTATCTGGCAACACTGTATATAATCCACTTTGATTGTGATATCCAATAATATGTAGAAACATTTAAAGGGATAAATTTATCAGGCTTAAAAATTTGGATTCACAGATAAAGTTCTTTCAAAACCTTCAAAGGATGACATAAAACTTAGTTCCGTTGAGAAAACTGGTTCAAAATTTATTCTTAGGTCATCTAATGTTCCTTTTTTTAATTTTTGTTAGAAATAAATTACAATTGAAGAGTTCGGTGCTACAACTAGACAGGTCAATTTTTAAGAATTTGTGGAAAATTGCGCGTTAATTAGTATTTTGTTTTATACTTTACGCGATTTTTAGCACTGCTCCTCGTATGCATACCGCGTATATACCCCAAAAGAAACAGAATACTTTCCATCCACTTTGAACGCCAAAGTACATAATGAAAGCAGCGCCCGATGAATTCTAATGAAATCTCACTTTTAGTTTATTAGCCTGGCGATTTGTACCCATTCTGCGTGTGTTTATCATTGAAACGTCTTCACGTGCCCACCCATCTATATTTAACGTATTTACACAATCATTATGCATTATGCGGTGTGTGCGTAGACTAAAAAAAAACTGAAACGGAAAAAATTTTGCCAAATATTTGTCGGTGCCGACACCTGTATCACTTTCTCTTAGTGTTTTTCAATTTATTTTTATATTAGACGGGTTAGATAGAATTCGTACAGGTTATTTCATCGATTATATCTTTAAGATCGTTATAAGGTCTTGTTTTTGGGTTGCCGCAAAGGATTGGCCTATTATTTTCCAATTTTGTATAAAGATCCACAATCTTTCATAAGCCGCCATAGTACATGTTTGTTCTCCAATTCAACATTTAGTATTTTGATTATAATGTCCTCTTACTTTTCGAGTTCCTTCTTTAACAGTATCGCTTACATCATTAGTCTTTAACTTGTTTTTGACGTTAGCAGAAGAGAAAAAAGGTTGCTGGACCAGAAAATGATATGTCAAATTATATTCTGATATTAGACGGTTGGGGAGACGTTGAAGAAGTCTCTGGAGATTGGATGACGATGAAAGAGAGCTGACGGAGTAACGTAGGACCGTAGGAGACGCTGAAGAGGCCTCTGGAGGCGAGTTCCACTTATATATTTATTTTTGACTTATTTTTGCCGTTAGTAGAAGAGAAGCTTGACCAGGAAGTGAGCTGTCAAACTATATTCCATCAAGTTCTCGTGTTAGACAGTTGGAGAGACGTTGAAAAAGTCTCCGAAGATTCGAAGACGAACAAAAGAAGCCGATGAAGAGACGAAGGACTAGGGAAGACGTTAAAGACGTTTCTGGAGTTTTGAAAAATATGAAAAAGAGCTAAAAGAGTGACGTGGGACCAAGGGAGACGTTTAAGAAACCTCTGGAGACCAGTATAATTTATATAATTAGTTTCTGACTTATTTTTGCCGTTAGGAGAAGATACATAAAGTCTGCTAGACCAGAAAGTGAGCTGTCAAACTATATTCCATCGAGTTTTCGTGTTCGACAGTTAGGGAGACGTTGAAGAAGCCTCTGGAGAATCAAAGACAAAAAGGAGGAGCCGAAGGAGTAACGCAGGACCAGCTGAGAAGTTAAGGCAGCTTCAATAGACTCGAATACACAGAAGAGGAAGAGGCGAAGAATTGACGTAGGACCAAGGGATATGTTGAAAAGGCCTCTGGAGACTCGGTTCCTACCGAAGGAGTGACGTAGAATCAGAAGAAACGTTGAAGAAGCCTTTGGAGACTCAATTAAGAAGAATAATAGTAACATAGGGGTGAAGCGATATTTACTAAAATGCCATTAGCATAAGCATATGGGGAAGTTTAAGAAACTGGGAGATATAAAAGACGGGAGGGATGAACGTAAGATTAAATAAGAAATATAAATTTGTAATAACAGTCTCATATCAGGTTCTCTTTGTAACAGGAAGCTATAATAAAGAACGATACACTAATGTTCCTACAATTCGTTCTTACACAGATGAAAATTGAATCAAAAGTCCAATATTTGGATAACTCATCGAAACAATGGTTCTTTTTCGGTCGCTCAATAAGTGACCTAGATTTGTACACGACCTATGGATAATCTTTCGTTCTACAAATAAGTTAAGAGTCATCTTCCAAACGATCCCTTACTTAAAATTACCATGGGGGTGCGGGCCGTTGCAAATTTCACACTTGACGAGGGCGGGTCAAAAGATTGTTTATATATTAGTTTTGTTGTTAATAGATTTCAGTGCGAAGGGCGCCACATTACGGTTAGAAAAATGTTACTTGCAGAGGGTCAGGCCGTGCGCGATTAATAACTTATTTTTTGACTTTTTTGAAGGAAGAACATTTTAGGACAAAGTTAAAGATTTGCAGCAGGGATATATAGAATTAGATTTTCCAAATTATTTCTTATAACGACATGATTAGCGCCTTAAAATACGTAATATTGTCCCTTTTTCTATCTTGAATAATAGCAATGTTTAAAAAAAATTAATCATTTTGTTCTTATACATCCCGCGTAAAACCACTGTTTTTGGCTTAAAAATTCAGGCGGAGGATGGCCCTTAATAAGTTTGTACTTACTTTTTTGTGATTCCATTTGACATTAACGCTAGGTTTACCCCGCCGAAAATCTGATTGGTCTATGACGTCGTCGTGGACCAAAGACGCGGTGTGGATCATTTCTGATATCATCGCTACTTCTCGTTGCGACGCTATCAGACCACTAAAACAAAAAAAGAACAATAAATATTTTTACATAATGTTACGAAGGAGGCGGCAACATCGCCTGATAAAACACCGGCGACAAAAACTAACTACCAAACCGATGAGTCAACTTTTTTGGATGAAATAAGTAGATAGATTATTTTGTAATAACCGGGCAGAATAAAATTAATTATTGTTAGAGAAGTATTGTTTTATTTTCTTTCTTGAAAAATATCAAAGCAATAATAACAATGGAAATTCCCAAATATTTTTTTTTTAATGAACACTACAAAATATTGAATATTTGTCATAGTATATTTTTTACCCAACTTGTTCTATTTTTATCTGAGTCACTTTTTAAAGATCTAGTATAAATGATAAAATGCACTTGGATGTATCCTCATAGTGGAACAGAAATAACCTATCTACTAATACAGGGTCAGATTGTTTCTTTCACTGAGCTCTATGAAACATAGTAGCAATGTCAACTTGCTTATTACATTGAGCTCTTTTTTACAAAAACTGTTCTGGATAACGTGAAGATTCATTACTTCTACAATGTCGTAGTTCTTGTTGCTTTTCTTCGAGTTTCACAAATGTATTTAATAGTTCAAAAATATCAGCTTAGGTGATGTGAGTGGATGTCATCCCTTCTTCTACGTCACTCTCGATTTTTGTGCTTAACACACTTTAAATTATGCTTTGTTACTCATCATTCCCTCTGGATAGGTACATCTTTGTCAAAATTAAACAAATGACTGATTTCTTCTTCTAAAAGACAACTCAGTGGATGGAGTAATAGCATACACATTTTGCGAGTGGCCGGTTGAAGGCTGATCAATATTTTCACCATCCTCAATCAGTTTTCTCCTAGTCACTTTTGACCATAACTTTCGCCATGTTCTATGCAATGTGACATTATTTACGTTAGACTAGGCAAGGGCATCTTTTATATTTAACTGACGTTGAAAATTATTTACGTTGCAATAACTTTTGCATTAATAAAGTTCTGTATTTGAAAAAGTTTCTAATAGTCCATTGGTCCACTGGTTGTATTAGTGGTGAAATATTTGCCTATAAATAAGTGTTAAAAATATTGGCCGACATGAACTCAGTTGTTGCAGAGCTTATGATGATGAGTTCTAAAATTGTCAAGGAGGGGAAACCCTTACACCCGTATACATAGTCGATCGCCAGCGATTCGTCGGCGTATCACCAGCGATCCGCTGGCGAAAGCCCGAAAAGGTGGTGACTTGCTGGAGATTGGCATATCTCGCATGTTATTCATGAGTCATTTCTTAAAACTCAAAAAACAATGAACGAATATCAAATTTTTCCCCATAAAAGAACATGAAAACTAATTTTTCCTAGAAAATAAGAAAATTTGCGAGAGATTACATGCCGGTTACAATCTCCAGCAAGTCGCCAACGATTCGCCAGAGATTCATCTCGGAGTTATCAGCAGCGATCCGCTGGCGATCGACTATGCATACGGCTGTTAAGAGTTTTTAGGACAGTTCTATTGTATTGCAGTTAAGGCCAGCTCTTAACCAGCGCTGCTGGTATCCAGGCATTTTACAGAACAGCAATAATAGCGGGAAGGTTGTACATTTTTTAAAGAACGAACGAATTTATGCTTACCTGAAGCATTGCCACACACTATGAGGTTTTGAAATGTTATTTTGTTTTCGTTCGCAACAGTTTCATAGGCATATTTTATTTTACCAGAAACGTCCAGTTTGCATATGCCATGACGAACGTTGATGTTATGAAGTTATTATTATTATTATTATTATTATTATAATTTGATAAGAGCAGGGGCCATAAGACCCATAAGCCCATATTAACTGAATATAAAACAATATTACTAAAAACTAAATCAATAACAGGTACAACCGATGAATAAACAATGAAACAAATGAAATGTTAATTAAAAAATAGAAAATTATCAAGTTCGTTCTTAAAAACATTGACAGATGGAGCATTTACAACATTCTCCGGTAGAGAATTCCAAGTGTGGAATATTCAATTAAATAAAAAATTTTGCCTCGTTTTCGTAAAAAATTGTTCTTTTTTCAGCTTCCATTTATGGCCACGTAGTCGATTTTCACTGTTCACGATGAACATACATTTTAAATTTCCAAAATTATATTTTAAAATACGAAAACAAATTATCATGTCACCCCGCAGACGGCGATTTTCAAACGTTTGTAGTTCAGCCATATGTAGTCTCTCTGCGTAATTAGGTCTCATACGTCCGAAAAATAGTCTGGTTGATCGGCGCTGAACATTTTCAAGAATATTTTTATCCCGCACTAGTTCCGGACACCACACAGCTCCGCAGTACTCGATAATCGGACGAATGTATAATTTATACAGCCGGATAGAGTTTTGAAAAGACACTTTTGCGAATGTTTTCTTTAATAAGTACATTTTCGTGTTCGCCTTTTTTGACACTTGAAGAACGTGCTCAGACCAGCTGAGATTTTCAGTAATTATAACACCTAGATCATTGTAAGATTTAACTTTATTTAACGTATGACCGTTTAGAAAATAATTATGACGAGGATTATTTTTACCAATATGGAGAACTACACTTTTATTTGTATTTAGAGGTAGCATCCAATCTGAGCACCAGTTATAGATGGAGTCAAGGTCATCTTGAAGCTGTTGGAAGTTCAGAGACGGGTCACTAAATATTTTAGTGTCATCTGCGTAAAAAATATTGTTGCACTTGATATGGAATTGAAGGTCACTGGCATATATTATAAATAAGAGTGGACCCAGAACTGATCCCTGAGGAACCCCACTCAAGACTGGTCTTTCAAGTGAATGCGAATTTCCAACTTTAACACAGTACTTTCTATCAGTTAAGAATGACTCGATCCATTTAAGTAAATCACCACGTATACCAAGGTGTTCTAACTTATGTAGTAATCTTCGTTTCGGCACACGATCAAAAGCTTTCGCAAAATCCAGGTAAATAATGTCTATAGGTTTTTTCCTGTCTAATGAAACTGTCCACTCATTTACACACCAAAGCAAATTGGTCATGGTTGATCGCCCTTTTACAAATCCATGTTGCTGTTTGGGAATGATTTCTTCCGCTAAGAGAAACTGAGAAACGTGCTCTGTTATTATGGATTCCATAACTTTACAGATTATGGGTGTGAGGCTGATTGGGCGGTAGTTATTAGAGTCTAGTTTGTTTCCTTTCTTGAAAATGGGTGTTACAGAAGCTGTTTTCCAGATAGAGGGTAATGTGTGTGTATTAAAAGACAAAGACATTATAATAGATAAAGGAACTGATATGGTATTAGAGCATTGTTTTAAAAATAGAGAAGATATTTGATCTAGACCTGGAGAGGAATTGTTTTTTAATTTTAAAAGGTGACGTTTGACAATTTCAGGAGTAAAATTGAGCCGTTCTAAGGAAGAATGGATTCTTTCGGGTGAGATATCTGGTAACTGATCCTGGGGAGGTTCATTAGTGAAAACTTTTGTGAAGGTATTAGCTAAAAGTTCAGCCGTTTCGAAATTATTTTGGCAGGGACTTCCATCTTCTTTGTTTAGTAAAGGAATGGATACTTTTGATGACAGTGAAGATCTAATATATTTGTATAATTTTTTACAGTTTTGGCTGCATGCTATTGACTCTTCATATTCTTCTCGGGCCTCATTTATAAATTTCTTTAGGTCCTTGGAAAAATTTTTGTGATATTCTAGATCGACAATACTATTTGACCGCTTATATTTACGCCATAATTTACTTTTATGTCTAATCAAGGATATTAGTTCTCCGTTGATCCACGGTTTTAATTTATTTTTATAAAACACCTTCTTTTTAGAGTATTACATTTTATGAGTAGCAATAAAAATTGCGAACTTATTCCATACTTCTTCCGGATCTCCCGAGTCCCCCAATGTTTCTATCCAGTCGATGGTAGATAAATGACGATTTAAGTTATCGAAATCGATGATTTCATAAGATGAAGTATGATCTTTGTGAGATGGGTTCTCTATGTTAAACTGTATACGACGTATGATAACTGCATGATCCGATATTCCTATCGGAGATTGAATGATAGGGTCAGTTAATAATTGTTTATCATTTACAAATAACAAATCTAGCGTGGAAGGAATATTGTTGACTCGGAATCGTGTTGGATCTGTTATAAGTTGTTGTAAATTAGAGCTTAGAACAAAGTTCAAAAATTTATTTTTTGAATTTACAACATCACTTGGAGTGAGAGTAACTGGCCACGAAATATCTCGGAAATTGAAATCACCAATAATAATGACATTTTCTAGTGAAGACAGATATTCAAGTTTTTCAATAAGGATTGTATCTTCAGCTAGTTGAGAGTCTCCGGGACGATAAATACAGACTAAATGAAGAGTAATAGAGCTAGAATAAATTTTTAAACCTAATAATTCCATATTAGGGACACTAATGTCAAGAGGACTAACAAAAAAATGTTGTGTAATATCTGATGATAAATAAATACAGACACCTCCACCGCGACGGTCTCTTCGATCGCATCTGTATAGAGAATAATTCAAAATATCATACATAGAATCAGAATCATTTAAAGTTAACCATGTTTCTGTGATAAGAATGATCTTCGGTTTTAAATTTTGTACAGAGCATAATAATTCATTAAATTTAGAGTTGAGGGTTGCCAAGTTCGTATATAAAAATAGCCAGTCGTAAAAACAAAATTTATCGAGATTATTGACGAAATTTCACGATCTTTGGGACACCATGTATATATTTTATAGTTAAGTCCTGCTCTCCATTATTTTTCTTTAACTCAAGTTCGGTCCTTAATTCTTTTAGGCATTCAATTTGATTGGGCGTTTTATCATCGATAATAGTTATTTTTTTAGTGGAGGCTTTTTCTAGAAGTTTCTTTTTGTTTCGCAAAATATGCCTTGCGTCATATTCGTTATGCATTATTAGTTTGATCATTTTAGGAAATTTGGTATTGTCCTTGCCAACGCGGAAGAATGTAACCG